TTAAAAAATATTTTTAATATAATTTTAATTTCCAATGAAACTAATTTTGAATTTTAAATCATAAATAATTTTTTCTTAAATATTTCTTAAATTTATTTTTAATTAACATTGATAAGATATCCAATTTAATTATATATATATATATATTACATTATATTATATTATCTATATATGTTTTATATATTTGATGAAAACCATTTATAGTTAGCAAAAAGATCTAGTTATTCAAAAAATAACTACTATAATAAAATCTAATAAATTATTATATTAAAAAATTAAATGATTTGAATAGATTATAATAAACAATATTCTCCTCCTTGTATATGTATATATCCTATGTAATTTATTTTCTTAAAATTCTTTATTTATATCATTTGTTTTTGCATAGAAGACCAAAACCAATCTATATTATCCATATTAATTATATCACAATTAAATTTTATTGTTTAATGATTGAAATTCAAAATTCACTTCAATATTAGTTTGTGTTCATATAAACTCATTTTTTAGTTTTGAATTTCTATTATATATTATATCTTTCAATATATTTTACATATGATAAAATTATTTCTTTCTTGTATCAGTTTGTATAAGAAAATTATTAATATTCTTATTATTTTTAATTATTATTAATAATCAAGAGGAATTGATTTTAATGAAATATAAACAAGTTTTCTAAGAAATTGTCTTCCTATTCTCAATATGTACCTAATGATGACATGAATGATGATGATACCTTCATTAACACCAACTCTACAAATATATCAATTTATTTTACAATTAAAAATATATTTAAATCATTATATTCTTAATCATGTTATTATATAAATTGTTGTAAGGTTATAATCTAAAATAATGAAATTTAAAATTAGTGACGGAATTGTGACGGAATTAGTGACGGAAACTTCTATGACAAACGATTTAGTGATGGAATTAGCAATGAAAATTTTTGATGAAAAAAATTTCATCGCTAAATATTTATTGACGGATTAGCGACGGACAGAAATTTTGTCACTAATCCATTGCTAAATTTAGTGACGAAATTTTTATTGGTAATCTGTTAGAAATTAGCGACGAAATAATTTTTAGAACATTAGGGGCTACTAAAAAAATACTGTAACATGCTAAATGAATATATAAAAAATTAGTTTTTGATACTACATATCATAAAAAATACTTTAGAATACTAAATATAATTTAACACAATTTATTTTTAGTAATTTTATATTATATAAAATAAATATGTAAAGAGAATTTTGTCTCAAAATATAATACTACTCGAGTTTTTATTATAAGTTATTTATAAGTTATTCTCACATACCAAAAACTACATTTATGGATAAAATTTTTCAAACACACCCTCATTAAAATTTTCTATTTCTCTTTATCTAGAAATCATTCTTATCTGGTTTTTTTTTTTTTAGTGAATTAGTGATCCCAAACTCGTGGCACTAAACGGCGAATGCGTGTGCCCATGTATAAAGCTGCAATTAATGCAATCAATTTACCCACCGCAAGAATTTCTTCTTTTTTCCTTTCTTTTTTTTTTTAAATTTAGGGAAGCCTGTCTCCTCCTTAATAATTTCCTGATCACCAAGACTCTATCTTTCATCCTTTCTTCAGTCATCACATTTCAGAATATTCTTGCAGGTAACAACACTTCGCTCTCCTTCTCAAGAAGAAACCTCCCCTTCTCTCTGTATTTCTTACTTAGATCTGCACTTATCCTTCCTAATCTATGCTATCCAAGCCTCAAACTCTTTTTATCTTGTTGTTCCACCTACGCCCAATCCAAGTTCTCTTCATTTTATGCTTGTCTTTTTCGTTTAACACGCAGATAATATTCTTCTGCGTAATTAATTTTTGTCTGAGACTGGATTAAATCTTTAGATTTCCCTATTCTTTCTCTTTGATTTAACTTGGTTTTAGTTTGAAGGAGAGATTGGTTGAAATGACGAGAAGGAAGATAGCAATAAAGAAGATCGAGAACGTAGCTGCGAGGCAGGTGGCTTTCTCAAAGAGAAGGAAAGGTCTATTCAAGAAGGCTATGGAGCTGTCAACTCTCTGTGATGCTGAGATTGCTCTCTTAGTATTTTCAGCTTCGGGCAAACTCTTTGATTATGCTAGTACAAGGTATCTTTTCTCTCTCTATATAATGTATACGTGTGTACTATCACTAGGAATCAGAATAATCTGAATTTTAATCACGTCTGGGATTTTCGTTTTTGTTTAGAGGAAAATAAATCCTGATCTTTATTTGTTGATAAAGAAGCTGTGATAGCCTATGCTTTTATTCGTCTCATTTGTGCTCTCTTCTAAATTTGTCTATATAATCTCCTTCAGTTTTGATAGAGTGAGATTTCACATGAAATGGCTCTAAAAAGCACAATCACTCAACCTAGAATCCAGATTATTAGCATACCAAGTTTGACCCATGATTCATTTGTCTATTCTTTTTTAAGTGTCAGCATTTATGTATCTCATCTGTTTGATCATCAATTACCATGTTCATGTTTCGGCGAAAATTACCTTCTGTTGTGCCAGTACAAGGTATCTTCTCTCTCTCTCTCTCTCTAATTGAAATGATTTAGGTTCAAGTTGCTTCCACACAGTACTTCTCTTCCTGTAAGAAGAAAACTTGTACTAGACGTTCTGACCAAAAAGTTGTGATATAATCCTTTTGTGTGCTTTTATATATGTGTGTATCTGAGAATTAATCATGTGGGTATAATTGAAAATAATGAGTAATCTCATCATAACTGTGTTTTGCTTATACCTTTAACTTTTTACACAATGTCTTGAGGTTGCTGCTAAAATAGTTTGAACACTGAAATCTTGATAGTCTTGGAAGAGACTATGGAATTTGTTCAACGTTGATGTGAATAATATGTACAATAATCAACGTTTTAAAACTTAAAACAGTACAAAATAGTGGTTTGAAAATAACGAAAACGACACATATATGGAGGAATATTAGATTCCATGAAGCTGCTTCAGTTCCAGAGGCTTTTGTTAATGTCAAGATGCTATTTTTCCTCTGGAAAAAAAATATGATCCTTTCCATAACGATCAATATAGTTATATCAATTATTTAAAATCTACAAGAAACTACGCTATTCACAAGTCAAGAATAATGTATTCGTGTTTGATTTCTTTTGGAAACAGGGGGGAAAAAAAAAAAAAAAGGCCCACAATACGCTGTTCAAGCGGTACTGCATGTCCTATATAGGCTGTATATGAGATGGTTTTTATCTTATTATTTTAATTCTATTTTTATTCAAAATCACTTTCAATGGTGTTGGAAAATTGTATGTATTTTTTTTGCTTTCAAAAATCTATGTTGCTTTCAAAATCAAAAATATCAAAAGAAGATTTAAATCTTCTAGTTTAATTTAAATGGTCTAGAGAAGTACAAATACGGCATACTTTTAAGAGGCAGGGATGTTTTCTTTTTTGGGCAATAGAGAACATCCCAAATTAACTTTTAGTTCATAATTGTTTTTTTCTTTGTATTTTTTATTGATTAATTAGGTGGATTAAAAACAGTTTAAAGAGGATTATGAGAACATGCTACTAGAACAGTCGGGTCACTTTTGCTTTGAAGATACTAAAAGTTTTGTAAGGCTATCAGCTTATCACAGATTGCTCTTGACGTTTTCCTTATTGTCTTCATATTTTGATATCTATTAATGGCAATATTTAAATGTTATAATTTTGAATGAGTCTATCTAGAGTTAAGATTAGGTTAATTAAAAAACATGCTATTATATTACACATTATTGTCACATATATATCTGTAAAAAAACACCCATCTGTAATGTTTGGCCATGGAAGCCACTAAGAATAAATTCATTGGTATATATATACATGACTGATTGGATACATAAGCAAATTTAATGCTGTATTTAAATTCACTTATTTTAACTATGACTTCCATTGTGCCCCTCCCCACAGCAAAAGTATGACATCCATTAAAATTTAAATTCCATAAATAATTTTAATTCATCAAATGATAATTTATGCTATATAATTCGGTTAGAAATAGTTTTAAAGTACGACTTCCATTTTAATTTTCAATATTTTTGTTGTTTTAAGCACGAGGCAAGTAATTGAAAGGAGAAGCCTATACTCAGATGTGAACCTTGTGAAGTCATACCAGCCACCTCAAGAGCTACAGGTATAATTTTTCTTCTGCTCTCTACCCCTTCATCTATTGCTGTTTTGATTCATCTTTCTTTTTCCCATCTCTGTCTGTGTGTCTGTATATAAAAAAATCTTACAAAAATATTTTTGGTTATAAGACATTTTGATAGTTTCAATGAGCATTAAATATTTCTTCCCATATATGCCCATATTTTATAAGGATAGTGAGAGAGATAAAAATTAGTATGATATTGGAATTTAGTGTGATTAATAAGGATAATATTAGAAATCTCTTAAATTTTATGACAAATTTAATGCTTTTAACTATTTTTATTAGGACTTGGAAATTAGTTAGAAACGTCTTATAATATGGATCAGGGGGAGTACAATATACTTCCCTCACCCTAAATATTCGAGTTAGATAAGTAATTTACATATATTAAGAAATTAAATTAGTTATTTGTTAAAAAATGTGTGTTGGTTATCCTGAAATATCCCCCTAGTCATTGCATTGGAAACTACACTCATTGATGAAAACTCCTTTATGTGTAATTAGGATTGCCTCTACTAGAAGGATATTAATGTCTATAAAAATAGAGATAATTTTGAAAAATTATAAATTTGGAATAAAAAATGAGGTCTACTTCAATTAGAACCAAAAAAAACCTCTTAACTAATATTTAGGAAGTATATTATATTACTGCAATAATTATTCAACAGTTACTTCTTTTTTATTCAAGGGTATGATGCGCCATATACATACCTAATATGAAAATGCTTGGAGGAATATACCAAAACTTTTGTCATTGAATGTGGAAGCATATGGAATTGGACAGGTTGAAGGTGAATAAGCAAAGGAAATTTGTCTTTTCCTTTTATGACAGTAATACAAAAATTGAAATATTTTATGATTTTTTTATTCCGTTAAATTACAGTTATCAACTGTCAATTAAACAATCAACTGTCAATTAAACAATGCTTATTTGAGAAAGAGGAAAAGTAACAAAAAAAATACCGGTTGAATTTCAAAATGACAGCTAAGTGATTTTGATTGATTTTGACTTGCTAAAGTCATTACAAGAGTAGTCCAAACCACTACAAGAATAGTAACCATGGCCTATTTGTCTTTTTGAAATTCAACATGTTTTTTGTCCTTGTTGTTTTCCCTTTGAAATAACTGTCTCATATGCAGAGGCTAATTTGACAGTTATTCATCTTGTTTGGTTCATAATATTCGATTTGTCCCTTTTACAATGACAAAACTATATATTATATTTCAAATATTCATTGCGGCATAAAAAATAGGAAGTGAATGAAATAAAAATTAGATAAGGTCAAGATCTCCCTATTCTTTTATCATTAGAAAGGTCAATTAAAGTCTCTTTATACTGCCACCTTTTTGTTCTTTGTTTTTTGGCTACCATGAGGCTACTTTTTTTTTTGGGGGGCTATCATAAGGCTACCTTAATCCATGGTTCCACCAAAGAATGTTAGTAATGATCTATAATTCTTTCCCCCTTTTGTGAACATAATTTTAAATCGCGGATCAAAAAGCAACTATATCCTCATAATAAAATGCATAATTTAAACATTTTCTCTTGTATTGTGTTTCAACTTTGCCTCATGCTACAGGGATCGACGTAACCTAAATAAATTCTAGTTTTAATGCTCTACATGTCCTTTAGTTATAGGAAATGATTTTTCCTGTTTGATGCTCATTTGACCCTTCACCTGTGTAAGATACAAATTAAAGAATGCTCACAATGACCGATTTAAGACACTAACTAACCTTATCCGCATTCCTTTTATAATTGATAATGAGCAGTCTCATAATCCTCATATCCTATATATCCAAATGGTACAGATATAGGAAAATCATTCATAGTCCTCTCAAATCTCTGTTCATAAATCATTTTATATATTTATAACTATAATTTATCGAATATGCCAAATATGACTTAGGTTGACCATTATAACTCCAATAAGAGAAACCTGATAAATCTAACCCAATTACGGGATGCTTTTCATCCCTTAATTATTCCAAACGTAACTGAATCATAATTGAATTAGATCCTCTTTATTCTTCTCAAAACTCATTGACAACTTGCCTGTCATTGTATGTTCCACTAACTTCGCCAAGTATGGGTTGACAAGATGGGATGATATTTTGGGGAAAATCCCAATAGGAAGGGAATACACATATATAATAACATAAAATGAATCACTATATAAAAGATGACATACATATTAATTAGATGATATCACAAACACCTAGAATCATTACTAGAGAACCACTGCACTCTCCCCCTTACCTATCCTGCTTTTTATGCCATAAAGACATCTCTTAGCCACAAGGCTTTCTTACTATACAGACTCTGCCTTCAAGTTTCTTTATCACAAGGGTATAATTCTTTGCCAAAGAGGCAATATTTAACTATTCAAGGCTCTAACTTTGAGTACAGATACACTTATCACATAAAATTACATGAAATAAACTAGGCACGCAAACAAGACAGACATATAAGAAGGGTAGGATTGCTATCTTGTGCAGAATTGACAATATCAAGGATTTTGTTGTGATTCCCATATTGGGGAGTCTTGCAAGTGTAGCGTGGTTTATAAGTTTAATGAGCTCTTTCTTCTAATATACTAGTTTTTTGGGATTGAGCTCTCCTTTGGGCTTGTACTCATAAGAAATTTCCTTACTATGTGTTTTACAATAACAAGTGTTCCAAATGAAGATTATATCAATAATCTTATAAGCCTACACAAAAAATTGTCTAGTTTCATGTCTTTTTTCCTACCTAACATCTTAGTAAAAGGATTAATATTTTAAAATATTTTTTATGAAGGGGTAAATATATCAAAATACATCTTTTGTAGAAAGATATGGTTTAATCTCTTGTAAATCTCTTACTTTCCCTTATTATACATTCTAATGTTGAGGGGACTGTTTTGTACCATAGTTTTGAAGTTATATATTTCTGCCACAACTTCTCCTTCACTATACATAATTAGGATAAAACCTCAAAACTATATATTTCTTTACAAGTTGGTCCCTACAAATTTTCATGTGAGTTCCTTTTAAATTATAGGATGTCACATTAACCTCGTCTTCTAACTCATCATTTAAAAAGCAGAATTTGAATCAAATTAATAACAGGTAACTGCAACTAAGAAACCAAAAATGAAACAACTCTCACAATTTCAAATTGAGCAGTTGGAGAAGTCTCCTCAAAATTCATACCTTGTTGTTAGTATCCCTTGAAAACAAATCGAGCTTTATACTCTTAAATGCTTCCATTAGTAAGGGCCGGGCCAAAAAAGCTATTTTTTAACATTTTCAAATAAAAAATATATAAGCCATAATGGTAATGTTCTTGTTCCAAAACCACATACCCTATAATGGTAATCCCTTTTAGTTAATATGAAGTTTTAGTGGCTATTAATGTCTCTTGATTCGCATATACTCCTCTCTTAATGTTTTAAACATGCCATTCCCTGCATAATTACTCCAGAGGCAATAAAATCCAAAGTTACTCTTTAATGATTTTATGGGGTCCATTAGTTTTATGTTTATCCTAATGGCAAATTAGAACACATCTAATCCCACTTTCCCAATCTATATTCATAATCAAGATTCCTAATTCATAATTAATATTGGCCAAGCAGCAACTAAACAAATACATGCGTGTTTGAACAAACAAAATTAACATTAAGCACAAATAATTGATTCAAACATGCTCTGATCCAGTTCATAATAACTTCTCTATGTTAACAAAACATTAGTCATGTTAAATGAAAGAACAAGAGGAGTAGAGTAGAGTAGAGCACAAGAGGAAGGAAGGAGTACCTAGGAGAAAGAAGTCAAGGACACTGTATTGTCAGCAGAGGAATGGGGAAGGATAAAACCACAAACAATTTACCCCGCATAGAACAACCAAGCTAAGTGAGACTTTGAGAGTTGAAGGAAGATTGAAGAGTTGAAGCTTGACAATGAGATCAGAAGGCAGTTGGTGTGAGGATGGAAGGACTGAAGCTCTCTTGGTCTCTAGTAGTTGAATAATTTAAAAACATATATTTAAGGGATGGCCTTTTAATTATTTGACCCAAATGGGCCCAACGTTTAGCCCATTTACTCATTTTGGGACCTAATTGTTAAGCCTGCTGGTCATCAATTTAAAAGGGTTTAAATGTGTTGGGCTCTAACAGCTCTACCCCTCGGGACCTTATAACATTTTGGCCTTCATGAACATCTGACTCCCACGCATGTTGAGTTTTATGGATGCTTGAATCTCCTCCGTCGTAGCACTTTGCCACTCAAATTTTTCTATTGCTTCTAAAGAAGTTGGGTGTTGGCGTTTGAAACATACACAGAAAAACTACAAAATGCATAAATTTGCTTTTAGTAAACATTTGAATTTTTTAGCGGTATTTCACTAGAGGATCTTCAGGCTGAAGAACTGTTGATCTGTGGTACTTCTTTCACTAGGTGAGGAAAATGAGAAAGAATATGGACTTGACAATGGAGGTTGGCGTGGCTTGCCTATTGTCAAACTCAGTCTATAGGGATTCAAATAAGAATGGCTCCCTTGTTAATATTCCATTCCCAACTAGCCTCTTCATTGGATACAATATTCCTGCTAACTATTACTTGTAAGATTATACAGATGACACGCTTTGGTTTGACTACTCTAGCCAATTTAAAATTTAGTTTTTTCCCCCCAATTTTTCGTCAATTCAAGAATGAAATTTAACCTAAACAGATGCTAGCTAGACAACTAAGAATTGTAAGTGGCTTGCCTGAGGCTTCTTGCTTTTCCGAGCTTCATATGGGTTTGATTCAAAAAAGCATTTTTTGGAGAGATGATATGCAATGTTATTCACTATGTTATTAGAGTTTATTGATACTGTTTTCTGTTCACTATAACGTTGCCTCTTCTTTTTTTTCATTTGTTTCTGTACTATTTAGCGATAGTAAACTGTTATGATGCGTTTGTTCTTTCTATCTGTTCTTCGATTCCATGGTATGGGTAAAACGCAGCTTGCAATATTTAGAACAGATAGAAACTAATTCTATATGGGTCGAAGTATTTGAGCAGGAGATCAGTGTTCTAAAGAAAAAGGTTAGCGTTATGTTTGTTTATCAAAAGAATCCTATGCATTATATTCAGCCTTTTCCTCAGCGTTATAATGAGAAAGTATTGATCAGAATTAATTCCTTCTAACTTAACCTTTTATTTTAGTAATTAATGCTGCCTTTGGAATTCTGAAGTTAGTAAAGACAAGGGTAGAATGAAGAAAATAGTAATTATTTTTATCTTCAAATTTTATAATGACAGATAAATATAAACAAGAATTTTCTTAAAAAGTGACCGTCAAAAAGGAATGGAGCGAGTAATTTCCGTGAGCCTTTAAATAAGCCCATAGTTAATAGAGATTACAAAAAACCACAAACGACATGCCTCAAATTAAAGACACGTAAATTCAACATACATAAACTCGTACAGAACTAAAGCAGATTTTTTTTTTTTTGAATTTTAAACACACAACTTTATCAAAAAGTCTATACTTACCAATGTCAACAACTTAAAAACACAAAATGAACTTAGCACATCTGATTAAGTTTAACCATAACTTTGAGTTTATATTTACAGCATTTAATGTCTTGTGGTAATATAATATGCAATGTAGTAATGTCTAAGGCACTTCCTCCATCCCATATTTTAGTTATAGTAACATCTTACATTAATAAAATAGTTGTTAATCTTTGTAGCACGTTGTGAGTCTTCATTCATGTCTCATATTTGTTTTAATAATGCGTTTTAATTTTGACGTCAATAAGGAAGACGGACTCAAGGAAGAAAACCAGAGGCTAAAGAAGGTTGTCAGATTCTTGTCACTAATTCTCTTGGCAATTAATTTCTCATTAATGTGTCTTCATAGTGATAATATAATGTCTCACTTTCCATGTTTTTAAACTTAATGCCAATCCAGTTCACCAAATCCATGGAAGAAAACCAGAGATTAGATCAGGTAATGAACAGGTTTCAGATTCTTATGGTCTTTGTTTTTGTCAGTACTGATCTGGGAATTGTATCGAACTGGGAAATGAAATAATGTGTTGATAGGCCCAGTGGCTTGAGGATGAACAATATCAGCCATCAGACACGTCTCCCGCAACAAGGCAAGTTGCTATAAACGCCACTGATGAGAGAGCTGTGTTTTATCTCCGGTTACTGTAGGTTAGTTATTTTGCTCCCTCAAAAGTATTTGGTCCTAAATATGGAAGTTAGTTAAGAGCATTGTTTAGGTTTCAACTGTAAGTCCTAAATCCATTTTATTTACAAATTTATAATTCTTTTTCAAACATTCATGTTGGTTACAATACTAAAGGGCTTTTAAAAAAAAAAAAATCCATGAAGGTAATTTTCAATTCAAATGAATGAATGTGGTGTTTTAGGTAAACTACCACATTTATTACAGATAACAAACCCCATTAATCATTCTCAATAACTGTAAATTAATTATCTGGCACTTATATTTAAGATGAGATTTATTAGATTTTGCTTTGAATGGGCCTAGTGCTCTAAATAAGCTTCACTTTTTACAACTTGTTAGTACTGCAACTTCCTACACTTGCGTGTCTGTGTACATTTGATATGATATGTTGACCCCATTAATGTAGTTGTCCATGACGATGAAGTTTTTAATGGTAAGTCCCTGTGGCTTACATGAATGATTTGCAATCCATGTGGGTGAGTTTAATTAGTCTAAAACTCTGGCAATTAAGGTTATCAAGTTTCATTAATCGTTATTTTATTTACTGAATCGCAGGTTACTCTTTCCCTGAATGAAATTAAAGCTTCTGAAGGAAGAAGCGCAGTAGATCTTTTTTTTTGGAAGTTTTGTGAAAACCGTTCTTGACTGAAAAGCACAGTGCTAGATTTTAAATTTATGAATAGTGGTTGTACAATAATGCAAGTGTGTAGCTGTGTGTAGTTGTTTCAACTTAGCTGTTCCTGGGCTGCAGTGAAGTTTTTTATTATTATTCATGAAGAAAATAAAAATAGTAGTAATCCATCCGATCAACTAATGTTCATTATTACTGTATAATTTTACTGCTCTTGGCAATATATAATACGGGGAATTGTTATGAGGTTTTAAATAAGGAATATAATTATTAAAAAGTCCCAGTAATAACAAAGCTGCAAAGACAAGTTTTAAGGATTTACTAGTAATTTTCTTTTAAGACTTTATTGTAATTCTCCCTATATAATAGACAAGTGTTCAATCCCACTTGAAAAGTAAAAACATATATGAAGAACAATTATTTTCACATTATATCACCATTAATCGAACACATATATTAGCTTTATATACAATGCCTTTATATACTATAATTATAAATAGCATGTATATGATATTACTAAAATTTAGTGCTAGTTTTATATATAATAATTAATTAAAAATCATGTATTATAATTCACTTTTTTGGCAAAAATATATATTATAATTCATGTTTAGGTTCTCTTGTTTAAATTTATTCAACATAGTAAACATATCATTAGCCAGTTTTAGTGCCTTCCTTTTTTTGTTTGGTTTATACAATTCAAACACCACACACACACACCCCACTATATCAACACTCAACTCAAACTCAAAACTTTATCTAAAGGTGACATTATTACCACTAAGGCAGTTAGTCCATTGTTTTGAGTCATTCCTTAAAGCCACTAATTATTAAATATTAGGATGCATATCTAGCCCGTATTCTTTATAAATAGTAAAATTGGCCAAAATATTTAATCAAGTGATTGTGAGTTTAGATGTCAACCCTGACATGTAGTAACATAATTGGAAACGGTCTATCATTTGCCTTTTGTACTCAGAGTAAATTAAAGAACACTCCAATGAAGCATCAATACTTCAAATTGTTTGATGTATTGGTATTGTATTATACCAGATAATCATACACCACAATACTTTATACTATTTTTAGTCCTTAATATAAAAGTTAATTGGAAATTTAATTTAATCTTAAATATAAGACATAAATCCACCTCATTTCACATATTTGTCCTTTTTTTCTTCAAAGTAATCCTTATACTGATTGCATGTGTTAAAGAATTTATATTAAATGATACTACCTCCGATTCTAATTATAAAAGTTAGTTGACTAATTTGAAAAAATTAAGAAAATAAGTTAAGTTAGTTATTTGTAATAAATAGATGTTGTCTTTCCTAAGATATCCTTGCTAGTCAAGTGTATTGGCTAGAACTACCATTATTAGAAGGACTATCTTGGAAAAAATGCATAAATATGAGAGACAAAGTGATGAGTCTTATAATTAGGACCAAAATAAAAGTCAAATGAAATCTTATATTAAGGACCGAGGTAGTAGTTTCAATACACATGATTGATAATGATATTGTAGGAAAGACAACACTATTTATTATAAATAATTAATTTTCTTAATATTCAACAGTTATAGGATCAAGGGAGCAGATACATACTATCGAAATTGAAATACTTTTTTAAGAAAAAATTTAAAATTTTTTATACATGTCGGATACTCCTAGAATCTTAGTGGATACTTCAAGACATTTTTATACAGAAATTAAATTCTGCTAAAGATTATGATGTTTTTTTTTTTGCCTGAGCTAAAGATTATGATGTTAAAGCTTTTCATTTTATATAGGAGGGAAAAGAATAAGCGGAAATTCATGGAATTAGCTGGCAAAAAGGGGGATGCACGGAATTACTTTGATGGCGCTAGAAAATTTTAGAATACTATTATGTTTGCTTGCGTATGACGTCAAGCAAGGGAAGATGGTTTTAAAATAACTTATAAGCACAATTCATATAACAAAATTTCTCTCGTATATTTATCTTGTATTTCATAAATCACGATTAAAAAGTTATTTATAAACTATTTCAAAAGGCTCCAAAAAAAGATTGATATTACCTCCATTTTTTTAATGGAAGAACTAGATAACTAACTTACATATTAAGAAAATTAGTCAGTTTATTATTTATAATAAATGCACCTTGATTTTTTAAACTATCATTTTTAATTATATACTCCTCCTGTTCTAAATATAAGATCTATTTTGTAGTGAAAATTATACTACGAAATAGGTTACCTTAAGAAATAGATCTTATATTTACGACTAAAGGAATATATTTGAATTGATTTTTGATAGGAACTCCTTAAGAATATTTTGGGGGGAAAATTATAAATTTAAGAAACAAAATAAATTAAGATTTTATATTTAGGATCAAATTTAAACTCCCAACTTGTTCTTATATTAAATTATGTATTTTTTGGTATTCAGTAGTAACAAAGGACTATATTCTAGTCTACATTGGTTTGAATTCCAACTATATTTTTTTTTTGCTTTATAAATTTTTTCATGAATATATAAACGCATCCTAGAAGTATCGTATCTTATACTCTTTAAGAAATGAAAATGTCGACCTGTTGAATATACATACATCCATACATATGTTTATATGTACATCATTGTATATGCATCTGATTCATATATGGCATTTGTGTATCAGAAGTAAATATGCACCTTGATTGTGTCTCTCCAAAATAGGAAGAAAAATTAGTTTAATGTTACTCATATGGATTTTGATGATAATATAAGAGGAATTCTTGGGTACACCACCTCATCTATGCTCTAGCCAATCAGAATATAACAAGTCACCACATTTTAATTTATTAGGTGGCTGCTAGGTCATCTCTAATTGTTAAGATTTTAATTAAAATATAATTATAAGTTAAACTCGGGGCTTTCAACTTGCATCAGAAAATTCCCATAGAAGAACCCTAATCTCTGCATTCAATGATGATTGCCCTCTTCCTGGTGACTTGAGACAAAGCTTGAGCTCTTCCTGGTGGGTAAGTTAATATGTGCCTTCCTTTTTCTCTTATTTTTGATCGAACAAGAGGCCATTTATCCTTATCTTCCCCTTCCCGGTGGCTGTCTTATAAATTAGAGACGAAGTTTGAGCTCTAAAGGCTGAAGGTCTCTCTTGAAGATCCTCTTTTGATTGTGTTTTACTTCGATTTGTTACTGGTAAGCTGTGATTTATTGTTACAAATAAGTAATGAAATCATTTTTGAAGCCCAGAACCCTAACTTAAAATCAATTTTCGGAGCTTTTAAGAACACTTTTACGGTCCCTGTGTCTTTAATTCAAAAGTCTAAACCTTGCAATCACCAGAGCCTCTGTTAATAAAAATCATTTCACTGTGATTCTTGAGGCTTCACTGAGATGAGATGTTTGTTATTTGACTTAATTGATAGTGAATTGAGGTACAATAAGACAAATCCTACCTATCATCAACGCATTTGATTCAGTTTATTTATTATTTTTCCAAGTATTTGTATTTTGCCGGTCCAAAATGCTGTTGAATATTTTTAGATTATTGGGGCCTTGAACCAATATCATTGTTTATATCTTCTACAAGGCATCTTCATGGATGGTGAGTTTAACTATATTTGTAATTTCAGCTACCTTGTTTTGTTTATGTTAAATCATTTTACTTATGTTTGTAATAATTTCTATCCAACCTGCACGCATAGATTGTTTTTGATCTCGTACTTCAAGCACATAAATTCCTCTTGCTTTTGAAAATACGAGGTGGGTTGTTCCAAAATATTATATGATGTGGTTGTCATGGTTGTCAAGACTGGTGATAATTTTTTTCGGAAATTTTGTGATGTTTATTTTGTTTCTGACTCTTTGCAGAATTTGTAGGCCTAAATTCCATTTGAGTGAGTTGTCTATGAAGATCATAAAGAAACTTACCTAGCTAGTGTCTGTATGGCTTTCTGGCTTGACAGCCTTTGCTTTTTCATTGTAATTAACAATCAGTGTTAAACCTTCTTTTGGTCACCTCATCAAAATGTGGCATTGGCATTATGGTTTCGTGTAGGTATGAAACTTCAAGGGAGGAGATTATATGCATCATGGCAAGCTGGGTAGGTGAGAGGAGGACGTGGCCTTGCTGAAATCTTTCATTACAGGAGGCATAATGGCTAACAATGTGATTTTGACGTGGAAAGCTTTTGAGAATTGAAGGGGATAATGACTTTAGTTTGACTTCGATGAGCTTGGTGCTGACTAGTTAGTTCGTTGGTATAGGTTGCCGCTATTTAGTACATGTAACTTGCTGTCCAAAAATGTTTCATGCATGTATGTCATGTTTCAATTAAATTGGTGCAGTAAC